CTTGCTCTCCGTGGAGAAGCGAGGCTCCCAAATCAATAGCCTTTCCTGCTCTTCTGGACCCTGGGGACAGCCTGGTGAAATATTTGTGGAGGTGGAGGTGGGGGCTGGCGGGGCCTCCCAGGAAGAGAATTGCACGCTGAGCCCAGGGCGTGGTGTGTGTGTGTGTGTGTGTGTGTGTGTGTTGCACACGCGATGGGTCAAGGCACCCACCACCACTCCTCCTTTGGACTGCAGCAGTCCAACCCCAGGCCAGTCTCTGGATACCTGGCTGGTTCTAGGCCAGGCACAGCCGTTGTCATGGTGACCGATGAGTCTTCCTCGGGCATGCGCCAATTGCAGGGTAGGGCTGAGGAAGGGCGAGCTCCTGCGCTACTGTTTGTGCAGCAGGCTTGAGGGCCCTCCCCCCATTTCTGGCCACAGGTAGGGCAGGGGATTGGACTGGGACTTGGGCCAGAGAGTTCTGGAGTTCTTTTTGGTGCTGAGAGGAAGAGGGGTGGAGCCTGAGCTTGGAGGAGAGGGAGGCGGTCAGCCAGGAGGCACTGGGGTGCAGGGGTTGGCCTCTGAGGCAGGCAACGCCTCGACTGCTGCCCACTCACGCGTTGTACATTTACTGAGCTAGGCGCCCGCGGTGACCCACTTGGATGCTTCACAGGCGTCTAAGGCAGCACTAAATCTACAGTCCTCCTGGCGACTTCTCCCATCCCTGTCCACTCGGTGCTTCATCATTCCTCCCTCCAACCCCCAGCTCTTGCCTGGTTCAGGGCGACGTCTCCCAGTGGGGTCCCTGGGACCCTCCATCCAAACACACACCCCGTCTTCCTACTGCATCTTGTGTCTCTCCCCTTTGCTTAAGCGCCTGGCCCAGGTCTGCTCCACCCAGTCTGTGCCCATATAGACCCTCTGCCTTTTTTTAAAAAATTGTTTTCAACTCTTATTATTTGCTTTACTATTTGGGAGAAAGACAGGGCTTTCTACTCCTGTAAAGAGTCTTGGAAACCCGCAGGGACAGCTGAACCCTGTCCTACAGGGTTGCTCTGAGTTGGCGTCACCTAGATGGCCAGGAGTTTGGTTTTTATTTGAGAATAGAGGTTTAGTTAGGTGGATGGACACAGCGGCTACAACAGTGGGTCCAAACATAACCATTGCAGCGGTTACCCCTCAGTTCTTTTGTAAGTGGTGTGTTGGAGCCAGGCATCGGCAGCAGCACATCTGAGAACATGTCAACCCCTCACCTCCAATATTTCAGCTTCTGTCTCCTAAGAGTCGAGCATGCTCATGCATCACCCTGGGTCAGCGATCACATTTCAGGGACCTTTGCACCAGTCCAATAATACCTTCACCTAGTGGGCAGCCCATAACCCAGGCTTACCAATTGTTCTTCGGGGCAGATCACACACTACTGCCGATCTTCCCGGCCGTTTCTCTACCCAGTCCTTTGTTTCCCGTATAAACATCTGCCAGTGTGTACCTAGTTCAGTCCTTCACATTTTTTAGTCCATCTTTAGCAGGTGTCGAATGTCAGGCTGTTCTGTCTTGATCTAGTTCAAAGGTTCCCAAACTTTGGGGGCCCACTGCCCCCATTTCAGAAAGAAAAAATTACTGAGCACTCCTCTGGCCATTAAAAATGTTTGTACTGCAGTCCATCATACAGGCTAAAGTAGAGGTATCTGCTTTTGCAGCGCCCACTTTGGGAAACACTACTTTTAGTTGTACGTCCCGCATCCAGCCTGGAGCTAGGTAGATAGCAGGCACAGCTGTGAAACGAAGGCCTGGCTGTTCCGCACCTGTCTACATGAAGGTGTGTAGAGAAAGGAAGAACAAGAATTCCAGACACAAAGGAAATCCAAAGATGGGGATCTGAGAGGACACATAGGAGTTTGGGAAGTCCAAGTTGTGGGGTGGGAGCTATTGGTGGACCACATGGTACGGGCACCTCTTAATCCCAGACTTGGGGTCTGGATTGGCCCTGAAACCAGTGGGGCCACTAGGGATTTTTAAGCAGGTAAATCAGGACCATGGCTTGGCAAGGTCACTCTAGGGTCCCTGAGGGAGAGGTGTGTGTGTGTGGGTGATAAAAGCTGCATGTTCTTTTTTTGTTAAAATAATTTTATTGGGGGCTCTTCTAACATTCCATACATCAATTGTATCAAGCATATTTGTACATGTGTTGCCATCATCATTTTCTACTTGAGCCCTTGGTATAGATCCTCGTTTTCCCCTTTCTCCCCCACCCTCCAGCCCTCCCGAATCCTCGATCAATTATATACTGTTTTTATTATTTCGCATCTTTTAAAAAAAATAATTTTATTGAGGGCTCGTACAACTTCTATCCATCCATTGTGTCAAGCACATTTGTACATTGCCTGCCATCATCATTCTCAAAACCTTTGAAAAGCTGCATGTTTTCATCCCCCTCCGTCCTGAATCATGCGACTGACACTCAGGCATCCCGGATCCCTCCATCCAGGTGAGTGAGGACTGGAAGTACGTGGCCATGGTGATCGACCGCCTGTTCCTCTGGATCTTCGTCTTCGTCTGCGTCTTCGGCACCATAGGCATGTTCCTGCAGCCTCTCTTCCAGAACTACACCACCACCACCCTGCTCCACCAGGACCACTCGGCTCCCAGCTCCAAGTGAGGGCCCCCCTCGCGCCATGCCCCTTCCCCTCTCTGCCGGCTGCTGTGGTCTGGGGCTGCGCGAGTGAGCAACCAGGCAGAGGGGCGTGGCCCCACAGATCCACCCATTACTTCACCTGGAGCCCCTCCCGCGCACACCCCTCCACCCACACAACCAACGCCAACCTGGAGGCTGGAGCAGTTGCCCCGTGTCTTGGCCACGCCCCTCCTCCTGTACCAAGCCAGGCAGCCCTGGTGGCTGCAGAGGGTGGAGGCGAAACTGGACAGGGCTGTCTGAGCCTTCCACCCTGGGGAGTGTCCGACTGGGAGGAGCCAAGAAGGGGACTAATGCATCTGCCTCCGGGTCACAGGGGGAGCGCAAGCCGGATTGTGGGAGGACAGGGACTTGGACTGTGGGCGGGGTGGACACAAGATGGACACAAGCTCAGAAGGGAGGAGCTGACGGCCGCTCTGTTCTGGTGGACAGAGGACAGCGGTTCCTACCTGGAGGGCTTAGGCGGGTGCTGAGCGCAGACCCCGGGAGTCTTCCACCTCAGCCTCATGCTTCCCAGGGGCTCAGAGCCCAGCACCCCAGGCCCCGTTCTGGTCCAGTGAAGAATTCTCCACTAGACGCCCCGTCTTCTCGCTCAGGCTCAATGAGTAGACGACAGTGTGTGGACACAGTTGAGCTTTAGTTGGGCCTCCCAGGTCAGAGTGTGGGTGACTTGCTCAGAGTGAGAAGTGCAGGTCCCCACATCCCCCCCAGCAGGAAGAGCCCCTAGTGACTACAGGCAGAAGCCATGCGACATCGGCTGCCCACTCACGCAGGAGACCTTCTGCAGCGCTGGGCCTTTGACCTTCAGCGCAGACACCCATCTGGAGTGCCCTGTCTTTCTGCCCACTCGGGAGCGACTGACTGTGGAGGATTTCCGTGGGAAGCAGACCCAGCCTGGTGCAAGCTGTGGGACTGGCCGCACTAGCACCGCTCCGTGTCCTTCCAGCCCACTGTCCATCCTTTCTGCTCCAGATCCCTCTCCCAACCAACCTGAGCACTGTGAAGCAGACCGTGGGAAGGGCAGCTGGACTAAAAGGGTGGCCTTCCCTGTCCTGCGAGCCCCCGGAGGGAGGCTGGCTCCTGACACTGCTCCCGGGGGTGAGCTGGAGGCCGCCTGGCCAGTTCCTCCAGGAAACAGACTCCCAAGGGCCCTCTGGTCCACCCCTCCCCTCCCTTCCCTCCTACTTGCCTGGCTCCAGTTTGTGGTTCCAGCTGATGCTCAGTGAGGAAGGCTGGCAGATGGAGGGTTGCCCAGGGGTCAGTCTGCTAGGTGCACTCTTGGGGCCTGAGGGTCTCTGGGGCCCAGCAGGGAACAGGTGCTGGTGGGCAGAGCAGATGGCACAGGCGAAGAGTGCTGGGCAGGATCCCAGAGCGGCAGGTTTGTTGGGGCGACCCCACTGTGAGGCCCTGGTATTGCCTCCCCCACCACCGCTCCAGGAAACAGACTCCCATTTATATGCTCTGGGGAGCCATGATCCTGGAATTGGTGCCATCAGGGAAGCTCCTGGCCCCTTACCATGGTGGGGGCTACCTTGGGAGAGGAGGCGCCCCACACCGTGCTGTGGTCCTGAGGCTGGTGGGCAGCTAGGACAGGAGCTGGGCCGGTCTCCCGGAGGCCCACTGGCACCCATAGCCCTTTCTGAGGGGGCATGCCCAGGCTTTCTGCCCCTGGCGGCTGGCAGTGCTGCAGGAGGGGCCGATGGATTGGGAATTTAAACACCCGGGAGACCTGAGCAACCCTGGCTGAATAGGGGCTGTCTGCAGAGGAAGGCTCTTTTTGGAGGGGGGAGCTCCGTTCCCTCTAAGGAAAACAAGGCTCTTGGGAGGGCTTGGGGGCTGTGGCCCGGGCTCTGTCCTCCCCATCACTGTTCTGGTTAGTGTTCACCCAGGGTCTGCTCTTAGCCCGTTTCTTCAGATGCACTGGCTTACTCTCACAATTCTGTAGGGGGCGCTGTTTTATAGGAAGTGGCTCTCTAAGAAGCCAATGGACACGGTTGGTCACTCCATGCTTAGGGATACCCAGCAGGGTCTTCTGACATCACTCCCCGCCCAAGGGTGGACTGGGTTCCAGCCAGTCGTTCTGTTTCTAGGCAGCCAGGGCTGGCGGGTCACAGCTCCCTCACCCTCGAACTGCTGCTGGCCGGCCTCCGCTCCTGATACTGACTGGATGGAGAACGGGGACCCCCTTTCATCCCAAGAGGCCAAAGTAATAACCCCAGGGCTCTTAGAGGACCGCTGGTCTGATTGTCTCAAGGACACCTCACTCACCCACCCTGAGGATGCCTGCTTCCCCCACTGGTCCTTCTCTGCACTCCTGGAGCATCTGCCCTCCCTGGTCCAGGCCTGCCCATGCCAGGCGCATTAGGAAATCAAGATTCGTGGAAAGAAGATTGTTTGCAAAGACATCTGTCTTGCTGCTATGTTTGTGGGGATGGAATCACCAAATCTGGGGACAGGGGCAATGAGCTCCTGAGAGGTCCGCTAGAACACTCTGAAGGAGAGGCGCGTGGGTAACAATCTACGCAGGACGTTCTGCTCCATGAGCTGCTCATCCTGAGATGGGAGGGAAATAGTATTCAGGTTTGGCCCCCCTGCGCCCCGAATGACAGGCAGGGTGACAGTGATGGAAATGGTTAAGGTGAGGAGGAAGGCCCTCAGGCAGTGCTGGCCCCTGTTGGGCAGGTGGGGTGGGGGAAGCCTGGCACTTGCTTGAGCTGATGGGGGAACAAGTGCAGTTCCCTTTTGAGGGCCCGAGGCTCTGGGGCTGTGCGTGTATTTACCCTGCACTGTTTCAGCAAGTGTTAAGAGACCCAAAACGCTGTCTGACTTGATGTGGCCCCGATGTGTGTGTCGGATGGGTGTGATAAAAGCTGCATGGTTTTTTTTTGTTAAAATAATTTTTGTGCTGCCAACCCCTGCCTCAAGTCCCCACCTGTCCACGGAAGGCCTCGGTGAGGGAAGCTTCATCTTGACTTGTGGGAGTCTCGCATGAGGAACTGCGTGCCTACTGATGGCAGTTCTCAAAGGTCAAGGATAAGTCTGTGCCCACTTCCATTGTGAAAAGTGGTGCATTCTCTTTGAGACCCAGGAGGGGAGTTCTGGATGCCAGGGATGAAGTAAGATGCCAAGGCAGCCTGGGGCCACCCTTGGACTCAACAGCTGGTGGGTGGAGGGTAGAGGCAGGAGAACCACCACCCTAACCCTCAACTGTGGAGACAGTTCCCGCAGAGCTGCCTCCCAGTGGCGACCAGCCTGAACTGGCAGCCCCCGAGTCAGCAGTCAAACACTCAGCCTCGGCACCACAGGGCTCCTTCAGGGACACACCCTCACTTTCATCACATCAACGAGTTTCTGAGGCTGACTGTTGACGGATCGGAGTAGAAAGCCCTGTCGTTCTCCTTCAGATCCGCTGGTGGTTTTGAACTGTTGACCTTGGTGATCACAGCTTAATGAGTAACCACTATGCCACCAGGGCTCCTCAAAGAGTTAGGCTTGTGTATAACTTCTGTGAACTTGTCTCAAGGGTGGCTTTCCTATTCTGGGTCTCGACATCTGCATACGAGTCTCTGGGACAAGCTGTTCAGTGGGGGGCTCTGAAGGAATTGGGGACGTCATCCCGGAGTGCAAGGCACACCACGCCTAGCCCAGCCACCCCAGAAGCCCCTGGGATGGGCTTGCGGCAGGCAGGGCACCTCTCCACCACCCTGGAGTCAATGCTGCTGGTCTCCCACCCACCCCCGGAAACCAAACCTTGACGTCTAACAATTTAGATCTTTTTTATTTATGGGACATGTGTATTAGTCAGTGATATCAAGAGACACATAAAAGCAGAATTATAAAACTGGACTGCAGCCATCATGGTCCCCAAGTCTGTACTTGGGCACTTCCCAACTCTGCTCTTGGGGTTATGAGACCCAAAGACCATCAAAGTCCCTTCAACACAAGTAAAGGAAATAGCTTCAAGCAGCAACAATTCTTACAAGTGATTATTCAAAGGGTATACAATAGCCACAGTTCAGACAAATTGACAAAAATCATTAAAAAAAAAAAAAAAAGAGTGGGGTAGGGTGCCCTGCTTAAAAACAAACACTTGAGGGAAGAATGAGCAGAACCCCTGGCAGGGCTCAGCTGCCTCTGTCCGAGGCCGGGCTGGCGAGGTGGTGTGGCGCCGTGTGGGCAGGGCCTGCCTTAGGCTGGCTTCCGGCGGACACAGGGAGCCGAGGCGCTCTTCCTACAGCAGACACTCAACACTGGAAATCTGCTCCATCAGATCTTGGGGGCGAGCAGGGTTCTGCTCTTTGAGAGCTGCCCTGCTCCTGGAAGGGGCGGCATTGCAGGCTAGGGTAGCACCCGAGATGCCCGGCGGGCCCAGCTGTTCCAGGGAGCCAGCATTCTGCAGACCCCAGGGAAGAGCTTCCTCCTGATGGATGGGAGCCACACGTCCTGTGTGCCCCGCCTGATCACGGCCAGGGAGCGAGCCCCTCGCCTCCAGCAGACAGACAGTGTTTCCCTGGCAGCTGCTCGAGCCACCTGGGGGCTCTGCCAGGACATGCCCAGTGTATTTTAAAAACGTGGATCTTGTTGTTTGGGCAATATTTGGTCAACGGAACAGAGGGTCTGTAGCCACAAAGAATAAAAGTGCACGTGTGGACGCATCTACTGTGGAAGAAGACAGACAGACTAGTCAGTAGTTTGCCGAGGGGCAGTGGGACTGGGGAGGGCTGCGAAAGCATGGGGGGAGGGGGGGACGCGGGGCGGTGTGAGCGTGAGGCTCAGCAAGTTCACGGGGGCCAGGGCCACCTGGAGGGAAGAGGCAGGTCAGTCCTAGAGGTAGCACAGCCCCTCTAGTTCTTGTGAGGCCGACCTGGGCCCTGGACCAGGCTCTACAGAGAGGCTGCAGGCTCTGACAGGCCGAGAGCCAACATCAGGTTAGGGTGCAGACAAAGGACTTCACCTCTCGGGGTGGGAGGTCAAGCTGCCCGTTCACCAATGAAGGCTGCCTTCATAGGTCAAGCCTATTCAGAGCCCCTGTGAGGCCAGGGGAGAAGACTCGCAGCGTGAGCCCCACCCTGTTCCAACTTCAGGATCCACCTGGTAAAGACGAGAGCACTTGGATCAATGGAGACAGACGTCTGGATTTCCATTTGGTGGGCTGCAGGCTATCGGTAGTAGGCAGGACTCCACAGCGACTGCGTTCTGGTGAAAACTCCCAAGTTCCCGAGGTTTCTCAGGAGAAACACGGGACAGTGGTCTGGCCCCACGTGATCCCCCTACTCCTGCTGAGCCCTGATTATCTGAGCGGAGGTGATGGCCACCTGCTGCCAGCGATCCTGGGGTTCATTGGTTGTTTTCTGCCAGCTGGCTGGTTCTGTGGCCCTGCTCCCTCCGTTGGCTGGGCAACTTCCTAGGAAGGCTTTGGGAGGGGCGGCTGGGAGCTTGGCCACATTCCCAGGATCGGCTGTGTCGTCCTGCAGGGGACCTGGGCACACTGTTGCTCGGGCCAGTCCTCTAGCCCATGGTGGTGGGTATGAGGCCTTCCGGCTGCCTGCGGGAAAAGGCCCATGGCGAGCGGAGCAGCAGTTTCCCGGCTGCCTGGCCTCTCCCAACCGGCTAAAGTGCAAGATCCAAAGATCGCTGAGCGGCTAGCTGCCTGCAGATTCCGACCACACGCGTCCACTGGCACCAGGAGTCAGCCAGCAGTCACTTTCGATTCCTGACCTTGCAAATGTCCCACCGAACATTTTTAGGTTTCTCTCTCTCTCCCTCGGGCAGTGAGAGAGAAATGGAATGATCACAAGCAAGGCTGGAATCTCCAGGCGGAGGGGACATTCTGTAGAGTGGCCGTACTCATCACCAGAGAGGCCACCGGTACCTGACATGATTCACATGGGCTTGCCTGGAGCCCAGGCAAGACCACAAGAGGTCAGTGTAGCAAACATAAACTCCAAGGAGATGGCAGGCCACAGAAGCAAACGGAAGAGGAAAGGGCAGCAGATGCTGATGCTGTGGGTGAAGAGAGCCCCCTTGGTCTCGCCTCAGGTCCCTTCACTTAGGGCAACAGAAGGGGGCTGGCCAAACCCAGCCCAGCCACCCCAAAGGAAGCGGGGTACACAGAAACCCAAAGTTCTCAGTATCAGGACTCTTGGTTCCGTTTTGTTTTTTTAAAAGTAGAAAACATAAAAGCAAACCACCACCCCCTTTGGAAAAAACAAACAAAAAAACCCCAAAACTGAAAAACCCCTGACCAATGTGATGAGGAATGCTACAGCCACCTCCTACCTCTCATCCCCGTGTGAGCACCCAGCCAACCCGCCCGAGGGGACTATACGGGGCACAGATAAAAGTTCTTTTCCTCCTGGGGCTTGCTTATCCAGTTCCCGTAGCCCATATCTTTCAGGCTTTTTTTGAAGTAGTTCTTGGCTGTCTCGTACTCCCGGGCGGCTCTCTTGGCCTCACCATAGGAGAGTTTCAGTAGGTCCCTGCGGTAACGGAAGGAGCAGAGCTTCTTAAATTGAAGGAAAATGTTCTTTTTGGAGACCCGTGACAGTTCATTCCGGGGCCTGGAGAAGTGAAAACACTGGTTATTCCCCTGAGGCCGGTGGTGGTGGTGGTGGGGGGTGTGCCCGAGGTGGAGAAAGTACTGGGGGTGGGGGGAGCAGGTATCTGCTCAGCTCTGGGCACCCTTGAGAGCTCCCCTCACCCGTCCACGGTGCCTCTGGTCCCATCCAGGATCTCTAGGTCGTAGCCGTCGGCCAGACACCAGTTGACACTCGTCTCCTTCGTCTTCCCAGATTGCCTTTTGGAATCGTAGACGCTGACTCGGCCAACCTGGAGCAGGGCAGGCGAGGGAGACCTGTCAGCGCAAGGCCGGGAGCAGGGACTGAGAGCCTCAGGAGAGGGTGGTGGGGCTCGAGCCCCCCATCCCCACTCTCAGTGTCCTGTTTGGTGAGACTAGGCAGCATCTAGCTATGCCACACCCTAGCCAGTTCCGGACTCTGAGGAGGATCAGGGTGCCCTGGAGGGGCGCTGCGAAGGCTCCTTGTGCCCAAAGTGCGTATTTTTGCTTAGTCGACAGGAAGGCCTGAAGAAGAGACAAGGTCAAGGGAAAACCGGATGGGGTTACGGTACCTTGGGGTGGTTGACAATGAAGGGCTGTCGCAGTCCGTCTTCAAATGCCTTCCCGTCTCTTGTCACTCGGCAGCAAATAGCACGGGTCAGATGCCCTTGGCTGAACAGGTAACCTGGGCACAAACACGCAAGTGGCTGGGTGAGCGGCCGGGGCTGGGAGGCGGGGGCGGGATGGGTGGTGGTGGAGGAGAGGGTCAAAGGCATCAGACAGTGCCATCAGGGCGACAGATCGACAGCGCTGGTTAGGAGGCGCCTGTGACCGTGGCTCCCCAGACACGATGGCATATCAAATACTGCTGCAATCTAGAGGCTCGGGGTCAGGTCAGGGACAGCGGAGAGCAAGGATCTTGGACGCTGCTGTTCGGAGCGGCTGGGCTGCTTTAAGTTGCCTGCCATGTCTTGTCATAGGCTTGCTGCCTAAACCCCAGGGCGGTCGCCATCAACGACTGGCCGCTGAGTCAAGCATGCTAACAACATCTGGCCACAGCGCACACAGCTCATGGTCTTTGGGCACCATCGGACACACCAGTTCCAGCTTCCTAGGCCCACCTGCCCCTTACCCAGTGTGACTGATTTGAGATACACAGGCTGCAAGAAGTGGGTCAACAACGCCCCTTGCAGGCCGAGCACGTTCCAGCGCAGGATCTTGTCACTGCAGGACATGGTGCGGAGCCGCTCCCCGAGCCGGATGCCATCCCAAGTAGGCACGATGTCACTGGACTCCACTGGGATGGTTCCTTCCCCTGTGGCAAAGACTCAGGTTAGAGCCCCAGGATCACTGGCCCGCCTCATTCCTTCTGCCTAGATCCCAGAGCACCTACTATGTGCCAGACACGGCACTGAATGCTGGGTTGAAACTGGTGGGAGAAACAGGTGAGAGCCTGGTCCTCATGGAATGGCCTGCAGAGTGGGGGGTGGGGTAGAAAAGGGAGGATTCCAGGTGGTGAGCGGGGCTGAGGGCTTCACAGGAGCTGGGCTGGAGCACAACCCGGGGCAGAGCAGCAAGGGGGCTGAGACACGGAGGAGGACGAGGGGCCGCTGGAGCAATAGCGTCCCAGACAGAGAAATGGCTAGAGCAAAGGCCCTGGGGCAGCAAGAGGCCACGTGGCGATGGGCCCGGGCACTCACCTAGGCTTTGCTTTTACGTGAAGGGCCGTGGGAAGCCACTAGAGCCGTGGTTATCCACCTGCCTCACGCCGAGACCCTTTCACACAGCTCCTCATGTGGTGGTGACCCCAACCACGACACTGTTTTCGTTGCTACTTCGGAACTGTCATGTTGCTACTGTTATGAATTGTAAGGATCTGATATGCAGGACGTATTTTCATTGTTACAAATTGAACATAACCACAGCTGAATATAAAACGATGGATCAGCATCCATATGGTGTGTATATATATATTTGCAGTAGTTGATGATTTTACATTTACCCAGTAATTATAATTCATGGCATGTCATTTTACCTCCAATACGGCTCCTTTCAACACAGTATCTGCTCTCTACACGTGTGACTGGCCCACATAAGTACATTTTGGCGCCAACCCTGCCATATACACCTGTATTTGTATGGGGTGTATGGGATGGGGTTGGCGCAATGATGTCATCACGCTGGGTGCTAGTATGTGGGTGTATCTGCATGTGGGAGGACTGCCTGGAGACAGATAGAGGAGCGATGTCTCGGTTCCTAAGACCATCAGAAATATGAGTTTTCTGATGGTCTTAGGCAACCCCTGAAAAGGTCGTCCGAGCCCCAAAGGGGTCACGACCCAGAGGTTGAGAACCACTGCCCTAAACATTCTCTCCCCAGCCAGCGGCGGGAGCCCAGCAGTAATGGGCCCGGGGCCGTGCAGAGCCAGAGCGCTTAGGGGGCGGAGGGAGGGCGTGCCACTCACCATTCTCCACCTTGGTGCGGAGCTTGCCTTGTTTAGGGTTCTCGAAGACAGGGTAGTGGCGGGATTCAGTGCTCTCCACAGCCCGGTCACTGCAGGACTTGTCAAAGAGGGCACCATCTCCACAGGGAGCCGTGCTGCGGGAGGGGACTTTGTGAGAACCCACTTGGGCAGACACCACCTGCCAGTTTCTCGGACCACAAACACAGTCCTATTGGCCGAAGCCAGGGATTCTTCTGTAACCCACCATGGGCCTCCTGTGGTGGGACAGCAGGTGAGCCCCCAACCCCGGCCTCGGGCCGCAAGGCAGTACAGACCTGATGTAGAGATGGAACGACACTGTCTTTTTTATTTGGAGCTTCCCTCCTCCCTTAGCGATCTCGAAAATGCTGTCCTTCGCCGTCTGGGCGCTGTACTTCATCAGCTCGCTGTAGAGGAACCTGGGGGACGAGGCCTGGCTGAGACCTCGGGCAGGCTCCAGGCTGGGCCGGGCAATCCTCTGAGCCCCGGGAAGGGAAGGCGAGGGTGGGGATCGTGCATGGCTTCTCAGGCTGACAGAAGTGCAAGGCAAGGCAGAGTTCTCTGGGGAGACATCCCATTCCTGAGAGGAAGCTAGCCTTTCGGGTCAGCATTGCTTCTGCCCAGGATGCCTGGCTACAGCGGCCGCCAGGATCCGTGGGCAGGACTGGCTGTGGGAGGCTGCGTCTCTCCCGGGACTCTCCTTCCATGGATTACAGAAAAGGTGAGGTGGAGGTGAGAGCTGGCAGCGGGGGAGAGGGACGGCTGCCTCGTTCCCAAGGCCCCACGGTCAGAAAGGTCCTTTGGAGGATTTCAAAAAGGGCAGGAATCGAAGCTGGCGAGGAAGAGGCACACACTGGGCCAGGCAGCTGGGTCGCAGAAGGACCGACGGGTCAGGCAGGCTTGAAGGGCCAGCTCCAAGCAGAGGCCGGCCCCAGTGGGGGCCTGAGAAGCCAGGGGTGGCATGGGGCTGGACACAGCGATGGAGCCCAGGTGGCTGCTCACCTGATGAAGCCCCTACGGGAGATGATCTCCGCATGGCAGTCGTTGACGGTTTCTCCCTTGAGGCTGAGAGAATCTCCTTTCACACAGCGATTCCCTGGGGAGGGGTAAGCAAGGGGGACTTCAGTCTGTGGACTCCCACATCCCCTTCCCCGGGGAGAGGCAACCATTCCCGCTCGGGATCGGGCAGCTCAAATGAAGCAGAGACAAGAGCCCCCCACCCCTGCCTTACCGGTGCCCAAGCTGACCACGACGCCCAGGTCTTCAGCGTCCTTCTTCATAACGATGGCGGCCAGGATCTTGCGGCCGAGCAGGGAGGGCTGGAAGCTGTTGGTGAGCGCGTTGAAGCAGCGGTGGCTCAGCATGGCGATCTGGTCGTGGAAGGTGCTGCCGGTGAGGGGGAGCTGTGGGGACGGGAGCCCCGTCAGGGCCACGGAACAGACGCACACCCCTCCCCTCACCCACTCACCCACCCCGCACTGCAGACGGCTCACAGGCAGGGAGGTCCCGTGCCTCTCCACCTGCCAGTGGGCCGTCTCTGCCCCTCTCCCACCCAGCCCCACTTTCCAGGCTATGGGGGCTAACATGAGAGCCCGGGTGTCATTCCCAGAGGAGCAGGAGTTAGCAGGAGCCCAAGAAAAGAGAGCACCAAAAGTAGACGTCTTAACTGTCTTTGGCTGTGCTTCTGGGGAGCGGGAGAGGAGAAGCATAGTTCTTCTGAGACTGGCCCCCGTCACTGGGGTTACCTCTGTGAAACCCATGCGCTCCGCCTTCTCGTTCTCCCCAATCAAGACGCGGAGCGCCGCATCTGCTGCTTCCTGCTTGCCCTGCTTCTTGCTGTGGGCGCACACGGCTGGGAACCAGCGACCCCCAACCTTTGCCTGATAAACGAACCTGAGGGGTGAGAAGCCGGGCATAAGACAAGCACCAAAGATGGGCAGCTCGCTGTGCCCTGGAAGACTGGCTTACGCTGCGGCCCGCTAGCGAACAAACGGCCCATCACTTCCCCCAGCCCGGTCTCCAATCCCACTGAAGAATCGCAGCCCACCCTGAGTTCAGCCAGAGCGTGCCGACGATACTCCTCCGTGCCTTTCTCTCAATGGAACCTTAAAGAACCGGGTCTGCAAGGGCCGAGGCCTGTCTTTACTCTCAAGGGAGATCAGCAAATCCCAGAGAAGTGTAGAGAAACCCTAGCACCAAGCGTGGTCTGTCTTCTTGAGCAAAACTGAGAAGGGACTGACTTTCTCCCCATAGGAGCTAATGTTGCTTAATGCCCGTCTGTCTTGTCAAGTTCCGGGTTCCATTTCCTCGTCTACTTCCTGATCTGCTCAAAAAGGCCTAGGCTGGACTGGCGAGCACGTCCAAGTCTGCTCTGGCCAAGGGACCAGGCTGTCCTGAGGGCGGGTTCAGACCTGGGCTCTGCTTGGCCCCTGGCACAGACAAGGCAGCGGCCTGGCCCGCTGGGCCGGGGATTTCCACCCTGAAGGAGGAGCATGATGGCGCAAAACGGCTTGGAAATTTACCAGATGATTCAACAACCCTGGCTTTCAACCAGGTCCCAGTCAGGGGCCTGGAGAAATCCAGCTCTGGATAATTCAACAGCCTCTAAACGGACGCTTTGGTAACCAGAGTTATCGGCTCGGGTGAGGCTACGAGGCCAGAAGTGTAGGATCTTTGCCCAGGGATCCAGGATAAGTTCACGTGTTTGAAAAGAATGTGAACGATTGGGCACAATGTCTATAAAGATATACAGGGGCTTCAAAAAGTTCATGAAAAACCTCTACTATCTGTTAATCTAATTTTCTTGAAATTTTATAAGCCCTCCTCACATAAACATGTGGTACAAACACATACATGTGTATACCCATCCTTCGTATCTATTGCATATACAATATATTCAATATACATGAGTATATATTTTGAAGCCCCTCCCATATACACAGATTTATATATGTGACATATACAAGCATATGCCTGCATACATGCGGGGGCTTCCAAAAGTTCATGAAACATGGAATTAAAGATAATAGAAGTCCCCCTGTATGTGTGTGTGCATGTGTACACGTACACACGTGCACGCACACACACGTTTGTTCTATTTGACTCCGGTAGATTCTACCGTGCTGGCCAATATGCCAGCCACTAGTCACGAGAGGCCATTACTTAAAAATGGAAACCGCCATTCAGTTCCTCAGCTACCCCAGCCACATTTCAAGCGCTCCAGAGCCACAGATGGGTGGGGCTGAAGGACGTCCCCACGGGAAGCTGTATGGTCCTACGGAACCGACACGAGGCCCACTGGCCACAAGGCCTCTCTGCCCAACAACCCTGACACTCTGACCTGACAGTTCTTTGCTGTGGTAGTTGGGGGTGCCCTGCAGGGCGTTTAGCAGCCTCGTTGGCTTTCACCTGTTACATGCCAGCAATCCTCCCCAGCTGGGACCACCAACTGGTGCCTACTGGCACTACCAAATATCCCTCGGGGGGAGGGGTACAGGTGACCGTTTTGATAGCCGCTGCTGCTGCTTACAGAGCCTTCAGCCTCATTTCCAAACCATCCCTAGTTGACTGACTTCTGAGAAGTATGTTCAAGCTTGCCCCGATGGCTTGGGTTTACTGTGTCCTATGCACAGCCCCGCCTTTCTTTCTTGGGGAAACCGCTAAGTTGTTCCTCTGAAGGTGTTGGTTTAGCACGTTTACTGAGGACTGAGTTCGCATAGTACTGATGGAGCAGCAGACGAGGCAGATGACGCCCGCAGAGCTAGACATAGAGAAGTGTCCATGCTCGTAGCCAGGAGCACCCAGTGCAGCGTGCGTGTCCCGCTCACCCTCTGCGTGGGTGAAGCAGACAGCTCCGTCAAGCACCAGGTGGGCCACAGCCGCACGAGACCCTGCCCTGAGATACCTAGCTAAGCCCGGGTCTTGAACTGTGAAATAATACATATTTACTCCCTCCATCTGAAAAAGAAAATGAAAATAAGTTTCTTACCAAAAATAATGTGTGCAGATACAGGAGGGGGAAATGGGACTAAAAAGATAAAGGCATTATTCCAGAACTTTTATACAGTTCGTTCTTGACATAAGAGAGAGAGGGGAGGGAGTGTGTCACCAGGTTTTGTTTTGTTTTTTTTAGTCAACCTAATCATCACATATTTTAATTTTTGTTAAACAATAACGGCAACAAAAATGTGGTAGTAAATGTGTGGAAATTTCCAGGTCTCAGGAAGCTAGTAGCATTGCACTGGTCGGGGGAAGGAGACTAGAAGCCTGGGGTACAAATGAGACTTTTCATGGTATGCTTTTTTAATTGGTTTGCTTGGCTTTCCACATAAGAGGGCTTCCAAGAAGTTCATGGAAAAATTTCATTACCTTTTCATTCCATTTTACTATGAACTGTTCAAATCTTTCTTATGTATTCCTTTAAAAAAATAAATTTTAATTTAAACCCACTGCCCATTTTGGTTTAAAATTACATCAAAACCCACTGCCACCACGTCGACTCAGACTCTTTGTGGCCCTACATGGGATTTCCAAGGTTGTAGCTCTCTACAGGAGCAGAGAGCTTCATCTCTCCCAAGGAGCAACTTGACTTGTGGATTTGAACTGCTGACCTGATAGTTAGCAGCCCAACCCTTACCTGACAGTGAATTAAAATAAAAATGAGAAAGAATCGTGTTCCCTGGAAGAGGGCTGGGATCATCAGGGAGGCCAGGCCTCAGGGAGACCACGGACATGGGGCTAACTTGTTAGTTATGCTCTCACTCACAGCTCACACACATCCTTCCCTTCCCTGGTGACGCCCCCCTACAACCCCGGGCGAGACAAGGGCACTCACTTGGGCTCATGAGGCGGTCCAGACTGGTCGACCAACTTGAACTCAGCCGCGAAGCCGTGGGAGCGGGCATACTCTAACAGGCCACCCACAGGGTTGGTGTTCAGGTATCTGACAAGCTCCCCAATCCTCCTGACCTTGTTGGGCATCACAGATTCCAAGTTATCAAATGACTCCGTGCTTGTACCTCCAGGCTGAAGGAGAGTGAGCCAAACAAAGTGCGGGCCATGAACACTGGAGGAAGTTCAAGAGCAACCCGGGCCCGCTCACGTGCTCAAAGACCCTCCTGTACCTTACGGGCATGAAAGCGGCCCCACCTGCTCATCAGACGACGTGGAGGTGGTGGCCTCCCCCTGGAGGGCCTTCATGGCTTCCTCTGCGGCCATCTGCTTCGCCGCTTTCTTGCTGGGGGCACTCGCCGTGGGGAAAGTGTGGGGCCCCATGGCAACACAGTACTGGAACCTACCGGGAGGGGGACAAGAAGGATGAACAAGGTGTGGCGTTGGTCAGCTTGTCATCCTTCACTGCCCCTTGTTCCCTTGCACCCCTCCCTTCTGTGCCCTGGCTCACATACCCACTTCTGCCGGGACTAGCCAGTGCCCTCCACCTCCCGTCCACCCCCCAAGGCAACACTTCAATATCAGCCTTGCCTCACCCGGCCCAAGAGCCTGCACTTCAGAGCAGAGCATGCCTCACACCGCCCAGGTCTCTGTCGCCTCCTTCTCCAGTGCTGGTCCCTGCTTCGCTCTCTGAATTCCTACGCTCAAATCTCGACCCCCAACAGCAAACCCTCCCCTCAAAGCCTCTTCTATTCTCATCTTGAAATCCATGAAGTACCCTGCTGTCTGACAGGAGGTGAGAGGAAAGTGTGTGTGTCTGTCTGCCTATCTGCTTCTGTCTCTCTCAGAATACCACCGCAGAGACAGATGGTACAAGAGACATACTTGGGGTCATGGGCAGGGCCCTCCCTGGACAGGAGGCGGAATTCACAGGAGCTCCCCAACTTGTGCATACACTCCAGCAATGTACTGACAGGGTTCTTCCCAGAGAAAAGCGATGTTGCTGAAGGAGTGGCAGGCTGGCACTCAGTGGTCTGCAGAAAACGTGAGACAAAAAAACCCACCTGAGAAAACACGGGCCAGTCCACCAGATGGGAGACCCACCACTGCCACTGAAGGGCACCTCACAAGGACAGGGGGGACCGGCCCCACAGCGTTTCTGAGGGGCCTTGTCTTCTTCCAGGGGCATGGCTGGTGGGTTTGAACCACTGACCTTGTGGCCAGCAGCCCAGTGTTTTACCCACCGCACCCGCAGGGCTGGGATGAGAACATCTCTGCTGGCCAACACTAGGTTGGGAACGGCTTCCACAGGAAGAGAGGCTGCTGGGTATGTTCTAGTCACCGCACGAAAAGCAAGTTACCTAAAGTTCCTAGATCTCCCGTCGTCCCTCAGCAGGCTGAACTCTGAAATTCCAGCAGGCTAGGGTAGAGCGAGGGTGGGAGGGCTGGCTGCCGGTGAGGTGGCAGCAAGCCGACCTCAGTGACCAGCCGGAAAACCTGGTACTGCTCAGGCCTGGATTCCCTCCTGGAAAACCTGGTACTGCTCAGGCCTGGATTCCCTCCTGGAGGGCGGGCACCTACCTTCTCGGCTTCCTTCTCGGCGGGGTGGTACAGCTCCTCGGCTCGCCCGCTGTCCTTGGCCTTTGCTTCCGCCAGCAGAATGGTCATGGCCTTCATCGCTGCATCCTGCTTGGCCACCTTCTTGCTGCCAGCTTCAGCTGGGGGGAACTCTCGGCCACTGATGACCACCTGGAATTTAAATCTTGATGGACGGTGATTAGATAGCTGTGTGAACACTAGCCTTGGCCCTCCCTCCAGAGATCCCCACCCTGGGTGTGAGGCGCTTTTCTGATTGGCCGGGGAGTCCAAGGGCAGGTCCCGGGGCTCCTGTCTGTGGAGGCTCAGCCCGCCACTTTTTTGGGGGAAACAACGCGCCCACACCAGACTCTGCACATGTCACAACAGGGCCACAGGGGACCACATGGCCCGGCTCTCTTAACGAGGATGAAGAGCGAGCCTGTCCATAGAATGAGAACGAGCCACAACCACCATTACACTCCCGTCCTGGCGCAGCCGTGCCGCCCCAGGGGAAGTCCCTGAATGAAGGGAGGGCTTCTCAGGGCCCATCCGCACACTCCCCAGACACCTACCAGGGACCCGCAGACACCTGCCACTTGTCAGGGGCCCGTTTCAGTCCCCAAGCCCCCTCAGAGACACCCTCTTATTGTGCCGAGTCACTTGATTACTCATCCCGAGCCTCAGATGGAGGACGGGTCTCCTCGTATTCAGGAGCCCAGGAGCGCTGGCTGCAGCTGCTGAACCGAGTTCAGCTTTCTGATGCGTTCAGCTCCTCGCTCAGCCTGGGGTTCCATTTTCAAAAGTCAGCCAAACCTAAGGCGACCAGAATCCCCGATTTTTGGAAAGAATGCACCACAAGCTAGGGTACACGGTTTTCGGCTGCCACGTGGCTATTTCGCCAGGATACGAGTTTTATCAATGGTGTCCCGCTTTACCAATGTTAAAATCTGGTCACCTTAGCCAAAACCCCTCATTGTCTATGTCTTCTGAGTATTTGAACATGGCGCCTATCTGTCCTGCTTTCCCTGACTCTGGGGAGGGTGTGTGTGTGTGTGATAACCAGTCTTTGACCCAAACAAAAACAAGCCAGGGGGGGCGGGGGGGCTGCCTGCACAAGCTAAAAATTCACTTGTCCCTAAAACCGGCTGAGGCAATCAGAGAGACTGGTAGAAGCCGCTCCCTACCACCCCCCCCACCCGCCGCCTCTCTCTTAGCTGCTCCTGCACCCACTGCACTTCTATGGCTTTAGGACCCTGTGGGCCCGGGCTGTCAGGGTGCCAGGGTGCCGGGCCTGCCCAGCTGCCCGGGAGGTGGTCTCTGATCCCACGGCTCAGGGGCAGCGGCAGCAAGCCGCCAGCCCCATCTGTGCAGGGCAGGTATGTAAAATTAGAACCAGCACCTTCAACAGGCAGGCAGTGGCCGCCCTGGCTTCGCCCCCTTCTCCCCCGTCCCCAGGAGCCTGAGGAGGGGTGGAGAGCTGGCCCACTTGCTGCTGCCAAGCAGCCTGCCTACCCACCCAGCCCACCTGTTCCTGAACCTACTCACCTGGAGGGTGGGGGCGGACGGCGCAGGGGGTGGGTGGGGAGGGAATCAAGGCCTCACTGCTCTGGTGCATCATGAGAGGTACTGATCTCTAAAGCTGCTCACTGCAGCCACCAGAGCCAACCTCCCGTCCTTCCCAGCCAGGACTCGGCTGGACTGAGGTCTACATCCCCCTCAACCTCTGGAGAAAGGGCCCATTGAGGCCGAGCGCCAACAGGCTGACAGGAGATGCCGACCGGCACGGCTCCCCAGCGGGCCGCGACCGTGTCCGGAGCCCACGCGCCTGACCCCAACCCTAGCGGCAGCCCCTGGGTGGTCTCTTACCGAGGTTCATGGGGTGGTCCGCTCTGCTCTATCAGGTGGAACTCACAGGTCTGACTAGCGAACTGAGCATATTCTAACAGCCCGCTGATGGGGTTCTTCAGCTGGCACTCGGTCAGCTTCTTGTAGGGCGAGCACCGTGGCAAGCCATGACTGTAGAAGGAGGGCATCTCCATGATGGCTCGGAACTCACCTGGGGCAGCGCGGATACTGTTCAAGTCATCTGGGATGTCGTCTGTGGCCCACTGGCCATTTTCAAAGTCAACATACCCTGGTTTGGATGGGCCATTGTCATGAACAGGTGGCCTCAGTCTGATGGGTTCTGGGGTGGCCTCTTGGCGATGTTCTAGCTTTATGACGGGGTCCTGCCCGTTCGTCACTTTCCCCGGGGTGACGGAGTTGTTGGAGGCACCTGGAACGGGAAGGTTACAGGGGGGGAACTCCACGCTTGTCTTGGTCTCGGGGGTGGTAGCTGCGGGGATGGCTGGCAGACCGCCGGGCTTTCTCTTGAGTTGCATCCGTTCTCGCTTCTTGTTCGTCAAAAACCATATGGGAGGAGTCGCCCACTGCCTGTACACATCTCCCTGCCGCTCCAGGTCAAGCAGGACGGCGTTGACGTCACGGGCCCTGGTCAGCCCCACGTTTCTCGCCAGGTTCAGGGCGGAGGAGTTGTACACGGTGAACAGGTGGTCGCAGATTTTCTCCTTGATCTCAGCCATGTCGGAACGCACGGGAGGATCTTCCAAGCCACAGGTGGGGTTTCTGTGTTCTGTTTCCAAGCCAGGTGTGGAGCTCCCGTCTTCCTCGGCTTCTGCGCCAAAGGCAGAGCTTCTGCATTCAGTGTCCAAGCCGGCAGTGGGGTGTCCGTCTTCAGTTTCCAAGACACAGGTGGGGTTTCTGTCTTCTTCTTCTTCTTCTTCTGTTTCAAAAACAACTGGGGGGCTCCTGTCTTCTGCTTCCAAGTCAGGGGTGGTGTTTCTGTCCTCAGTTTCAAAACTGAAGTCTGTGTTTGGAGCTGTCTGGCAGTGATTGTCTGGCTGCTCGGCTGTACTGAGCTGTTCCCTGGCCTGAACCGAGCCTGCGATTCTCCACAAAGGCGGGGTCCCTGCCTCTTTATGGAGTTTACCCTTCTTTGCCAGAGCGTATACAACACGATTGATTTCCCTCTTGGGGGTCCTGAGTTTTCTGGATAGCTCAAGTGCTGTGGCGCTCTTCCCTTCCCCAAGGGCTTCCAAGTGCTTCAGGACCCTTTGTTCCTGGTTCGGGCCGATCCTTAGCTCCTGGAAATGTGAGGCTAGCCCGTCAACACTGCTCCCCGGCTGAATCCATGGCAAGGGAAGGGGGGACCCTCTCTGGAGCCCCTGACTTTGGAAAGGCACACCTCTGGGGCTATGCCAGCGCTCTAGTTGCCCTACTCTGGCAGGTGGTTTTGGGAACCTTGGCAGGAGCCCAGGGTGGAACGGAGGCAGGGAAGGTGTCTGCTTTCCAATCAGCGGCACTTCTGACAGATGCCCCTTGAGAAATTCTATCTGCCGGAGTTGGAGATGGTTTGGGTGTGCTTCCAGGCCTGGCTGCTCACGTCTGAGGTCTCTGTAGCCGTGGACGGGAGGGGGGCGGTGTCTGTTCAGGGAATACCCCTGCAGAACAAACAAGAAACCGGAACAGAACGCGCATTAGGCCTGCAGCAGTGAGCCCGGGGGGCGGGGGGGGGCTCCCTGCCCTCTGCCTGGAGGAGCTGGGCTCTGGCACACATGGGGTGCCTCTACCCTAAGTCCTGCTGGGGCTGGAGGGCTGCAACCAGGAAAGCAAGGAGAGGAGCGCCAAGGGCAAGGGAGGGCGAATGTGGATTAGAACACAGGTCGGAACAAAACGAAGGTGCAAATGCACTGCCAACAAGTCGATTCCGACTCAGCCACCTACAGAAGGCCTCCGAGGTGGTCGACCTGCATGGGAGGAGACCACCTCATCTTTCTCCCTGCTAGGGGCTTCAAACCACCAACCTTGTAGCTAGCGGTCCAACAGCTCTACTAGAGGTACCGGTGTGGAAATGCCTCCCCCAACACAGAGCTGGGCTTCTGGCTGGACCCAGGGGCGTGGACACCTCAGCACAGCCTCTCTAGCAGGCCGCCTTATTCCTTTTCCCGGGACAACTTTTTAGGGACGTGAAAAGGAGCCTTTTCCTTCATCAAAAGCGCATCCTTCTGACTTGCAGGAAGATGGTGAGCTAGGTAGACACGCTCCCCCAGAATTCTAGGGGCCAAAGAAGCTATGGATGATAATCCTGGAACCCTGAGCTTCAGAGGAAAGGCTGGAGAAGTGGATGGAATGTTGACTAAGAAGAAGCAACCGGAAAGGAGACCGGGTGAACGGCAGGTCAGCCTGATGCAGCACAGCATCCCGAGCTGTTGCAAGCAGCACTCAGTACAGTGGCCTTTCACAAACACCCATCAGCAGCTAGCGATGAGAAAGGTAGGCCTCTCGCTCCCTCCATCATCCAGTGTGGCCAGCTCCCACCCTGAACCACCCAGTGACTGGGGACACCCCGGACCCTGTGCGGCCCCTGCTCTGCCTGAAGTCAGAGCCACATCCTCATGAACTGGGTACAGCACCCCCTCATGTCAGGAGGCACTTGAGCTTCCCCTCACCAGACCAGCAGAACCCCTGGATTGGTAAGAACATAACCAGCTGCCTGGACTCCAGCTCTCTGAGCCCCAACCATTCCTTCCAGGATTGCACATCCATCTTAGGAGGCACAAAGCACTCCTGGGTCAGGTGCCTGACTGCAGACAACATATGGGCAGAAACTCTTCCCTTGGGGCTGTGGCTAGCAGAGGGTGGCAACCCGTACTGGGTGCCCTGCCCACCTCCCAGAGCTCTGTTATTTCAGTCCCTTCCCTTTTTTTGAGGTGGGGGGGGGGAGGGAAGCCCTACTACTGCTAGCAAAGTGGTGACGTGCTGAGCTGCTACTGCCAGGTCAGTAGTTCAAAACCACCAACCTCTCTGCTGGAGGAAGAGGAGGCTTCCCACTCCTGTAAAGACTGCAGTCTCAGAAACCCACAGGGGCGGCTCTCTCCCCTGCCCTGCAGGGGGCTGAGTCTGAAGTCCCCTTACTTTGACCTTTCCTCTCACCACCACCCCCCTTCTGAGTAGTGCTCTTTTCTCCCCTCCCTAATTCTGACTTGTATTTTTTCTTCCTTTATTTTTATTTTCCTTTCCTTACCTCTCCTTTTAGTTATTGTTTCCCTTCCTATTAGTCTGGGTACATTAAAGAAACAAATCCACAGAAACTCATGTATAAGAGAGAGTTTTCTATAAAGGTTAAGTGTGCATCAGGAAAACATCCCAACCCAGTGCTGCCCAAGCCCGCAAGTCCAACATCAACCCTTATGTCCAACACCAGTCCACAAAGTCCTCCTCCATCTCACAAAATACACACCATGACGCCGACTGCAGGAGGAAAGCTAAATCAGTGAACATGTAAGCATCTCAGTGCTGGCAGGGGTCTCCACATGGCTGCTCCAGCACCCACACCCAGGGCTGCATCCGGATAGGTCCATGTGGCTTTTCCTTGGGGATGTCTTGCACAAAGTGAGTCTTGCCAGCTGAAGCAGGGAACTGGCTAAGGCAATTGCACCCTGGTCCGACCATCACGAAGCAAGAGACCTGATAACTCGAAAGGCAAGGCTCACCGAGCCATTTATCTCTCTGCCCTTCAATTAACTCTATGTATGTTAATCGGCCAGGTTGGCACAATACATTAACTAATTCACTTCCTTATTTTTTTCTTTCTTTCCTTTTTAAATCATTTTATTGGGGCTCTTAAAATATTCCATACATCCATTGGATCAAGCACATTTGTACATATGGTGCCATCGTTTCCTAAATATTTACTTTCTATTTGAGCCCTTGGTATCAGCTCCTTTTTTCCCTCCCTCCACTCACTTCTTTCTTTTTGTTGTTTATTTTTGCTTTTTGTCTTGTCCCACCAGATAGAGACAACCACTACACCCACACAGTCCAGCCACACCCATATGTTCTACAGTACCACCAACTGGGCATGGTCCACGACCTACTCTTGAACCACTTCGCCACCAACAGACAGCAGCTGACACTAAGCCAGCGCTCAGCTGGGCCACTTAGACAGCGGACAGAGAATTGCATGTACACGTACATTCTCTATGACACTCGCAAGGACACTGATGGTGTGTGCCTAAAAACACATCCACATACAATCGATCATCAACGAAACACAAACATAATACCACACAACAGAGAGTTTCAGTTCAACTGAAGGAACAAGACGGAGCGGCGCAAACAAGTGACCAAAAGAGACCAGAAGACTTTCCCAGAAAAAGGAAGAGGCATTGGGACTGCCTGACAAGGAATTCAAGACAATGTTTACCTTCCTGCAATGGACTGAGTGAGGGATCAACAACAGCAAAGAAAACACGGGGGAAAAAACTTTAGAAGAATTCAGGAAAATACGAGAACTGGTAAAATAGATGAAAAACAAAAACTTAAAACGATTAAAAGAAGATTTTAAAAGAAAAAATAAAAGCTACACAAAAAGAGCAAATGGTAACAGGTAGAAGATTAATACTGAGAGTTCAAAAACAGATAGTACATTGTAAGGGCAAAGGAGTAGACGCAAATCTAATACTCTCAGTACATAACACTCTGAAAGGAAAGAATGCCAACTGAGAATCACATACCCAGCAAAACTGTCCCTCAAAGAGGGCAGCAAATTCAGACACTTCCAGAGAAACTCATGAAAGGAACTTGCAAAAAAATGAAAAACAGATTAGCCTTCCAAGAAATACTGCGGAAGAGTTTTTTTGGGCAGAAAACCAGTAATGGGAGACAATAACCTGAGATTAATATATATGACAGAAAAAATATACATATATACATGACAGAGCCACCAGAAGCAACCCAGATATAAAAGTATCTGAAGAAAAACAAACCTACAAGACTGAAAATATGGCACCAGAAATATCATTTAGTCATGAAGACAATTACAAAGTAAAAAGAGGGAACAGTGTAGTTCCAGAACTTTCAAATGGAGAGCAAGTTAAATATTTTTCAAGAACTTGGATGAAGGGGAGCGCACTGTATAAGGAGAATGGCAAAGAATGATGGAGGCAAGGGAAGGGGACACGGGGTGGGGTGGGGGGGGGAGACACATGTAAGAGTTACAGGCAATGAAGTTAATATTACTATAAACACAATCCTGCAAAAATTGTGATCAATGAATAGATGTGTGGAGAGACATGGGAGCTGCGTGGGTATTGGGTGTGAAAGAAATAGTGGGAGTAAATCCATGTGTGTTTGACAGGATATTGTACATGTTTGTTTACCTTTACTGCAACCTTACCCATGGGTGTGGTGGAGCATACAGGGGTCAAATGTATTTTTAAAATTCCTGGGCAAATGAGGCATCTTGGGGGAACGAGTTGCTGGCCTGGGGGCTTGAGAATGTAGTCTCAGGGAATACCAGGGCCAATTGGTAGAACACAGTCCATAAATCCTATTTTGATGAGTAGCAATTGGTATCTTAAAAGCTCGTGAGTGGCCAATTAGGATGTAACCATTGGTCTCTCTGTGATGAAAATCAGATATTGGAAATCAAAGACACTAGAAACAATTCAATGGACTAATAATGGACCACTCACACATCAGTCTCTACCACTCTGAAACCAAAATAACTGGTGGTGTTGAGCAACCTTACTGACTGCTCTCAAAGGATCACATTAGAAGGTTCGGAATAGTGGGAGAAAGGTGTGGAACGAAACTCAAAGTCATCAAAGGAGGCAGGCTTGCTGGTCAGCTAGGGATTGGTGGACCCCCCAAACCTATGGCCCTTGGCCATTCTTAGAGTCTGGTCCTAACTTTACCTATGTGCACAGTTCAATGTTCAGTCAAACAATAAACCGGCCTGTAGTGGAATGTAAGTGGTGGACTGCTAACACAGTCTGCAGTTCAAACCCACCAGTTGCTCCACAGGATAAAGATGAGGCTGCATGCTCTCATAAAGATTTCCAAAAGTCTTGAAAACTATGAGGGGGTACCAAAAAAGAAGAAGGAAAAAAAATAGGTTTGTTCCCCCACCAAAGTTATGTTGTTGTTTTTTTAACAAAACCACCTTATCATCATCTTCAAAGTACTCTCCATTACATTTAATACATCTGTCAAATCTGCACTTTCATTCTTGGAAAAAAGTTTCAAACTCATCAATTTGGATCGGCTGACAGCACCTCCCTCATTTTTTACTTCATCTCTTCTACATCGTCAAATCACTGTCTTTGCACTTCCCTCAGTATTCGTGGAAACAAAAAGAAGTCTCACGGAGCAAGATCAGGTGAGTAAGGTGTGTGGGCAAGAGAGGCATGCTATTTTTGGCCAAAATCTGGAGCACTGAGATGGCTGCATGAGCAGGTGCACTGCCATGGTGGTAAAGCCAGTTCCCCGTCTGCCACAAAGCAGGCCAGAATATCTAAATAGAAAGCTTGATCAACAATCTGACTTGGCTGCACAAACTCCAAAAATGTCAACATTTTCATCCTTGCGGGAAGTGGACTGACGCCCAGAACCAGGTTTGTCATCAACTGACATTTCACCTTTTTGAAAGGCCCTACAC